TTATCAATTGATTATTGATAAAATTAGAGGTGTTCATGAGTTGAAACAGATTCGGGTGAGGCTCACACTTGATATTAATAATTTAAATGCTTACCTAAGTCCAATCCAACTTGAAATTTCGGACCTTAAAAATTTTCAAACCCAACACAAATTTAAAAAATAAATTTCAAATCAACCTATTAAACTTAATTTATATAATAAAAAATTAAAAAATATGATTAAATTTTATATAATTTTTATTTTTAATTTATATATATGTGAATTAATTTATATATAATTCATATAAATATAAATAAATAATTTATATATGCGAATTCAGATTGAGTCGGGTTTGAGTTTTATATTTTTTATCTAAGCTCGAATTCAAAATTTAAAGAAATCAAAAAATTATACTCAAACTCATTTAACAAGTTTTATTTTTTTTTATTAAAATCTTCTCAAAATTTGAACAAACTCTAAACTTAAATGAGTAACCCAACCCTGAAATAGATCTAAATAAAATTTATCGATAAACATTAATTTATCGATAATTCATCACTAAATAATTGAGCTAATTAGTATTCTTTTAAATATTTAGTTGAACACAAGTTAATTTGGGTTCAATTCCATCAGATTTTTTTTAAATTTTTTTTGTACTCTTAAATTTTTTAGTTTTATATTTATCTGATTAAAAAAATATTTATAAATTCGTTTAAATTTACAATTTTAAACACTAATTTAAACATCATGTCAACTTATCTAGGTATTTATAAGAAAATTCTCTCTTTACCACTTAAAAACCAGCAAGAAAACAAATAATCGATCGTCGTACAAAAGAAATTAAGATATTTTTATTTATTTTAATTAATTTCTTTCCCACGTTTTTCTCCATCATCAGCACTGTATCTTACGCGGTATCTATCAAGTTCCAATGCTTTCTGCCTTCCACTTCGGGTAACTTAGATTAATTAGAAGGATCGAAAAATATCTAAGTCAAAAAGTAATAATTAATAAAGCGCACGATTGGGCATGGCAATTGGATCTGGCTTTTTCGTTTTTCCTTTTCACTTTTGATGATTAACCCAAGGACGAATTTTGATTCTAATTGCAAGCTTGACGATGGAACATGGATGCAGAGATAAGTCTGAAGCACATGTTGTTGACTTGACCAAAAGAGCATGCCCCCGCAATTATAGTTTTTGTTATCGTCTAGCTGCTGCTTCCACACCTATTCTTCAGTCGTAAATTCATGTTTCGTCAAATATGTTGGCTTCAATTGTCCTCACTATAAGAATTGCGGGGTCGGCCAACTTTGCCTCAAGAGACTTTTTTTTTCTCTTTTACACAATGATTATATTTGATAATAATTAAGATGAGCAATCAACCGATATGATTTAAAAAAACTAAAAATCAACTTTTAAAAAAAAATAATCAAAATTGATTTATTATTTTTAATAATTGAAAATAAACGTAAAGTCGGTCAATTCAATTGAAGAACCAAAATTTTTCATATTTTTTGTCACTAATTTTGAACAATAATTTTACAACAATTTTCATTCAATTAAAATAATTTTGTAATTTTGACATCAATATTATATTTGTCATTCTTAAGAATATAAAATATATTTTAAAATTTACTAACAAAATCGATTAATCAATTTGATTATTAATTTTAAAAATAAAAAATTAATTGAATTAACTAATTAAATTATTTTACTTAACAAATCATTATCGAAATAGAACTAATCAAAATGACTTGATTAGATTCAACCGATTTCGATTAACTAAATCAGTTGGATTCTAACTTATACTCACCTCTAATAATTTAATAGAAGTTTTGCACGATATAGTGTGGCAACGTGGCCATTGAAGTTAATGATTTATATGAATGGGTGGTGAGATAGAAAATAAAAATAGATATGAGATTAATTATTATAATGATAAGATTAAAATTAATAGTAAAATATGTGTTTAAATACAAATATAATGATAGAGGTGAAGAAAATTATTATTAAAAATATTAGATTATATTTTTTATAAAGTAAAAATTTTAAATTATTTGATATTTATAAAATTAATAAATAATTAAATTTTACTAAAATTATTTTTAAGTTATATAATAATTCATTAATAAATAATTAAAATTAATAAAAATGATAATAATATATGTACATAAATCGATAACAATGTAAAAGATAATAATCAATTTTATATGAAAGTAATAATTATTTTTTGTTCAAAATAAAATTTTAAAAATTAACAATTAATTAAAAAAAAACAAAAGTGGGGTCCATCGAAATTCTGAAACAATCGTGAAATAGCTCGACCAACAACTTCCTTCGTCGGTGTTGTTCCTCTGGTTCGGGAGCATGGGTAGCTTCAGCTGGGATCAGGTGAAAGAGATCGCATGCAGTTCGTCTTCGAACCTGGCTGGTAGCAAGCCAACCTTCTTCTTTTTTTTGGTTAAAGCAAGCCAATTTACACTTTTAATTAACGATTGTGGTTTGAGCAGAAATCACTTCAAAATCTCGTACATAAATGCTCACTTGATTCCTCAGGATTACCGCCACTTAATGCCCAAAGAAATAGCTGATCCATCAGTTAAAGATGTTATGAGTTATGACTTTTCTTTGTTGAGCATGATGGATTGTGCCTTATACAATGTTGTCAGTAGAGGCTTAATGGTTTTGTGAGATTTATAACTATTGAAGACACTGAGGAAAACAGAAAAGACAGAAATATTTGCCATTATTTTTTTGTTAATCTGATTTTACAGTCTATTTTGTTATGCATAGGTCCCATCAGTTTCAGAGGCTAAGGCACTCTCCCCTCCTTTGTTAAACTTCTTCAACTGTAAAATTTTTAACTCTAGCTACGTGCTTTGAAAAATGGGATTTCATTTCCCAGGATTTGCAACTGTAAACATATATATATATATATATATATGACTTTGAATTTTAAATTAAACAATTACTTTGTTTTATAATTACGTCGTTGACCGAAAATATTTTAATTGGTTATTCAATGAGTTTTTTCAAATACTTAGTAATTCAGTTTAGGACATTGAAAATAACCGAATTGCATGAAATTTAATCGAATTTGGTGAATCGACGGACACGGATGATTTAAACAAATTTTATAAAAAAAAATAGGTTAATTTAAAAAAGCAAATAAAGTTTTAGCTATAACATTCAAGATCCGAGCTATGCCTGAAACCAAGCTTGATTTAGCCTGTATTATATAATTATATTATTTTTCATATTTATATATATTAATATAGTTTATATTATATAAAGAATAAATATATAATATTATAATGTAAATATTATAAAATATATTAAAATTTTCATATTTTAAAATTTAATAAAAGAAAATAACAAAAATGTTAAAAATTAAATAAAAATATACCATATTTTTATTCTTTTAAATAAAGTTATTTGGATAGGCAAGGATGACTTGGACTATAGTATTTATAAATTTAGGTAAGCTTGGAAAAATTATCACATTGGACTAAACTTGAACAAGAATCTAAAACATTGGTATCATATCTAAAACCCAATCTAAAGTCGTTACATAACCACTTCTAATTTAAATTCTGTAACTCTTTTTTTTTTTTCTTGAATAAGGCTCTACTTCTCAAACAATTTTATGAAATTACATTTAAAAATTACAATTATAACACATATTATATTCATATATAAAAATTCACAGAACAATCAAACAAACAAGTTAAAATATTACTAAACAAATTTAATAAAAGTTGAATCAAATTCACATATGCTAAAATTTGAACCTAAGACCTCAAAATTACAAGGACTCCTTTTTACCATTAAACAATAACTTATTGGCAATTCTCTTAACACTTTTAAAGTAAGAGTTTGCAAATTTGCAATCAGAGGACGAGATCTGAACACTGAAACAGCAAGCAGATCATCATCCGAACCAGTAGTCTTAATCATTCAATGGAAGAGGAAAACACTAATGCAATCTCAAAGGAACAGCAAGAACAAGAAAAGGAGGAAACGAACAGTTCCAGATTATTGAATTGGACATAGGAAGATGATGAATTGGAACAAGACAGTCGTTTTGATCAGGGAGAACAAGTCAACGCCATTCAATTATGCATTCTACAGTTTCCACTTACCACATGAAAATGTTTGCTTCGAATTCTTTCAGAATATATATGAAAAATGGAGCCTGAATTACTCTAACGAATCAGCCGACATTTGTATTTGTAAATTGATACGGGTCTTTTTTATTATTATTATTATTCAAATGGGACAGAGCCTTACATTAAGAGAAAGGGGAAGGTTGGGATTCAAACCCTGATCTTGATATTTTCTTTAATGCTATCCTGATCATTAGGTCAAGCAATTGAAGATAATACGGGTTTATTTTTATAGCTTGGGCTTGAGTGTTAGATTAGTTTTATTTTAACTGCTATTTTTTTTTTTTTTGCATGCAAATGTCAATGAGAATGAGCAGCACCAAAAGGGAAGCAAGGTATTGTACACTCGTTTGGTTATGCTAAATGAAATCAATCCTTTCTTTCTGAGAACTCTTCTTTGTTCTTCTTCTCCTTCCTTCTTACTTCTATTTTTGTCACTGAAGTTTTTGGTCCATAACATAAATTTAATACTACTATTGTTTTATTTGGAAAATGATGAGATACAACTCTGGTTCTGAGCAAAGTTCATTAGACTTGGTGTTTTCAACACTAGAATTTTTTTAAAACAACAAATATTAGTTTTACCTTGCCAAACGTTTAAGTTGATGGATAATGAATGAAAATATTCAATTTGAATATGATATTATAAGAAATTTAATGTTTAAGTGATATGAGATCACATGGCAAAGGGTATAAGGTAAAAGTAATAGATAATAATAAAAAAAAAGAATCACAATTTGATATTATATTAAATATTCAATCTAAAATTAATTGACAATAACAAAGAAACTCAACTTAAATATAATATCACAAGAAACCAATTTTTAACAAATATGAAATAACACTACTTTATGGTATGTTATTATTATATGGATCTGACCATATTATACAACAATTGAATAAGTAGCATTTTAAATAGAAATAAAAGAAATTAAATATTTTCGACAAAAAAAAAAGAAATTAAATAAATTTGTACATGGCAAAATTGCGCTTTGATGATATTGGTTGGCTGATACATATTCAAAATAATATTATATTATCTTTTCTTTTTTTTGGTGTTTTTCTTTTTTATTCTTGAAAAACTATCAATTCTTTCTTGTGTGAGGAAGTTGCTTTAGAATTAAATAAACAGAGGATATGCAGGGGACAAAATTTTGAATTCTATGCAAAATTATAACATCAAATACCATTAATTTCGATAATTGAACTTCAAGCCCAAATAGCCAGGAGAGACATAAGACCAGATCCAAGAAGAAGACAAACACTTGCTCCTACTTGAAGTGTTCCATTGTTTTGCAACTTTGGATTCATGAAATCAGCAGCCAGAAGATCGACAAGCGCCATATATATTAAGATCCCAGCTGATGCCGAGTCGAAGATCCCTTCAACAATAAGAGCAGTTGGGCTGTTCTCATCGTATATATTTGATATGCCTATTCCTATAGCAATTCCTACTGGGGTTGTGAGAGAGAAAAAGATCGCCATAATTGCAACAGCTCGAGACTTGAATTTCGCCTACAAAAACATTCAAAATAAACCTAAAAAGAACAGCGATCCCAGAAAACAGATAATGACAAAAATGGGACATGAGATTTCTCCTTTTCTAGTTTACAGAAATGGTTGAAAGATAATAAACAAAATCTGAACATTTATTAGCAGTTATTACTTATTACCCTGGAAAATACTTCAAGAGGAAGAAGTGGGATTGTTGGAGATTCAGGGGTAAGTCATAAACGCATAAAATTGTTACAGAAACAAGGGATTGAAGATATATTATTATTACCTGGGAAATGCATCCACCAAGTCCCATGCCCTCAAAGAACTGGTGGAAGGTGAGTGCAGCCACCAAAGGTCTTATAGTCTTTGGACTTTCAGATGCACCCAAAGATATCCCTATTATTACTGAGTGCACCACTATTCCCAACTCCAAAACCTATAAAACATGTATAACATCAGATTAATTTTCATCACACTAAAATTTTGTCAAATTTTTATCAATCTGATGATGACTATTGAAATTTGAAGTCCAAGAAAAGAATTTAATATTACCCAATAGATATGATTTAGAGTTTAGACATGTTTACTTTAAACAAAATTACCTGAGATACTACTCGGTGTCGAAGAAGCTCAGATGAAACTGAACGCTCAAGCATAGAAACAGAACCATGAGCATGGCCATGAGTTGCATGAGTATGAACATGTACGTGATTTTCATGTTCCCCTGTTTTCTCTTCATCACCAACGTCACTCTGTTGGGTCTTATTAAAGTGAGACTTAGTGTAATGAGAAGTCGCAAACATATCAACCATCAATGTAGCAATTGCAGAGGACATAGCCACCAATCCGGCGAACGGAAACTTCCCCCAAGGATTTTCATTGAGGCAAGGAGATGTCAAGTTCTCAGTAGCATCAGGAAGAACATGGATAAACCCTGTCGACAATATGACACCGGCTGCAAAGGCTTTGATCAAGAAGAAAACATTCTTTTCGGGACTTAAAGCCTTGATAGTTTTCCCAAGCAGAGGAAAGCAAACCCCAATAGCTCCAGCAACGAGAATCGAAACTAAAGCAGCCATCTTGTATTTGAGCGCCAGTGACTTATTCCGATCTTCATCTTCGGGTTCGCAAGTGCAGTCTCCTCGTACTAGGGAAGGAAGTAGGATGAGAAAGCAGCAAAGAAACGTCAAGAGCTGAGTTTGTTTAGAGTTGGTCATGGCTGGAAATGAAAACCAAATCCAATTGAGGCTACAAAAAAATAGAAAGAAAAGTTTTGAAGAGAGAGTGAACAAAGAAGTGTCGTTTATGGAAGGGGAAAACTAAGCAAAGTCTTCTTAAATGATTCCGGCCCTACAATTTGGATTTCCTGTGACTGTTTTTGCTGGGGACACGTAAAAAATGTATAACTTTGAAAAGTCCACTAACCAAACAGCAAATCACAACGTTCGGAGAACAAAAGAACAAAGTAAAATTATCAAAGGGTTGGTCTTGTTTGTCAGATTGGCGAGTACGGCAGGGATGTTTTGGTCAAGCAATGATGAAAATTAAATACTCCGTGGCACTGAATTTGCATATTATGGGCAAATAATGAGCTCATCTTTACCAATATTAATTTTAATAACGCCTAATCTCACGGTAAGCTTTTATTCCGTTGGTCTATATATTCATTATTTAGAATTAGAAATTTTTTTTGAAACAAAGATTTAAATTTTAATATTTATAGATTTTTTATTTTTATATTACAGGTTCTTTTATAGCAAAAAATTATAATGATATATTATTCTATACGTAAAAAATTAAATTTAAATTTATAAGATATTTTTATGAGAAAAATCGTAAGATATTTGGATAAAAATACATAATATTTTGTAAATAAAAGAAATAAATTAAAATAAAATAAAAAATGAAATCATAGCAAAAGGATGCAATATTGCATCATTTATCTTATATGCGCAAATCAAAATCAGGCATATCTTTACTTGGAATAGAACATAAACCTAAAAAAATTGAATAAAAAATTGATTTGATTGGACCCTAATGAAAAAAAAAAAAGATCATTGAAAAGTTTGTACAATAAATTTAGCAATTTTTTTCTATATTATATAAAAACAGGCCAAAACTCATCTTTCTTTAATTTAATTTTTAATTTCATTTTATTTAATAAAATATATGAAAAAGCACCTTCATTAAAAATTAAAAGTTAGAAAAGTCCAATTAGAAATAACAAAGAATGGTTGGAATCTACTAAATGATTTTTTTTTTTGGCGACTTTTGTTTAATTAAGTATGGATGTTAAAATTTTGTATTAAAATGATCATTAGTTATTGTTCGAAGTATAAGAGCTAAATGATATATCATAAGAGGTATTTCTAAAATTATTATCATTGAAAAATTGAAAGTTTCATCTAAAATTTTAATGTCTCATATAGTCTTAATTTTGTGTAGAATTTGTTAGACTTAAAAGGATGTTAAATGTTTATAGGTAGAGTTTATATATCTCAATTTCACATTAAAATTTTAATGATATGTTATAATATAATATATATATGTAATTTTATATTTATATTTGTGAAATACGAGATAAAATCATAAATTTTTTTAATTAAAACAAATATGATCTTGGAGATTAAATGTAGATTTTCACATAATTAATTTGAAAAAATTTCCTAATTAAAGATGCTAAAATTTGAAAATTTAAGAGATTGACCCGAAGACTTAGAGATATTAAGAACAGCCAGAGGTGTCCAAAGAATGTCGACATAATAGTCATCAAGAAGAAAATTCAAAGGTTTCACATTGTGAACGCCAAGCTGAATGTAGTAAAATTCAAAAAGAATGTCGATATTCCTTGGAAGCTAGCTCTCTTTGGTTGGCAAGAAGCTGGTTGTCATATTCTTTGGGGGAATTTTTCTTTTGGGCAAGTAGGTTTTCCATATTCCTTAGAAAGTTTTTTTGTCCAAAAAATATCAAATATAATTTTAAAAAATATAGAGAAATTCAAATTCAATTTTGAAAGATTAAATTTTAGATATGTGCATTTACTTTCAAATCAAATATTCTTAATTGTAAGGAGTAACGAATTTTATCATGTAATACAAGCGCTCTCTTCTTATTAGACCTTTTTTTTTTTTTCAATTTTGTAAACTTGGTATTTGTTTAGAAGACAAAGAATTGGTCAACTTACATCAATTAGTCATATTTTGAGAGAAAATATATTTTTAATTCATATATTAAATGGATAATATCAATCATAATTTAATTTATACATCACTTTATCCTAATAATAAAAATTTTTTATGAATTAAATTATTTTTTAAAATAATAATTTAATCATTCTCAATCATTCTCAATTATCTAATATCACAAAATTTTAAATAAAAAATCTTCAATAGATTTGTTTAAAAAATATATATTTAAATAATACAATTCCAAATTTTCTTTTTTATTATTCACAATTTTTTCCTTGAAAATTTAACCTTAGTAATAATAAAAAATATGAGAAAATGAAATGTGTCCTAAATTCTAGTGACTTAATTATAATTGTGTAATGATTTTTCTTTAATCTCGTCTCAAATAATATCAACCAAACATAATTTCCATTCATTGTTGTAAATTTAAAAAAAAAAATTATAACGATTTGAATATTTTGCTTTATCTCAAAACTAAGATGAACAGCATAGGGGGGCCACCAATTAGTTAAATCTCTTTGATGCTTAATAGTTGAAGAAAATCCATAAAAATAAAAAAAAAAATTGAAGAAAAGGTTCTCCAAAATAAAATTATTATAAATTTATTTGAAGACAGGTTACTTTGGGTTCACTTCCATCTTTTATTAACCAGTAACGAAACAAATAATTGATACTCATCCTAAAGGAATTAAGTATATTTTTAATTAATCTCTTTCCCACATTTTAGTCATCGTCAAGCACTCAGCCGTACCCGATATCTTTCAAGTTTCCATGTTTTGGAAAAACGATTAGGTGATTTATTAATAGAACATTAAAATTAAAAGTTTTGATTTTAATAATAATTTAAATTTTGATATTTTTAAATTTAAAAAAAAAGAAGTTACAATGCTTTCAACCTTCAATTTCCGAATAAGTTAGATTAATTAGTTTTTGTTCTCATCTATAGTCAAATATGATGGCTTCAATGTTATCTTCGTGGTCGACTGACATTTTAGATTTTTTTCAAGCTATTAATTTCTATTATATATATATATATATATCAATACGTTTTGTTAATTTTAATGACGTAAAAAGTATTTTAAAAAATTAGTGTTCAAAAATATTTTAAAATATTTTTATTTTTTGAGGTGTTCAAAATTTTTTTTAAAAGTATACAAAAAAAATTCTTTTCTTTTTCGGGTTTTTGGACCAAGGGTTGTAGGGATAAGTTAGTATAAGTAACATAGAAACGAAAGTTAATGGTCAAGATTTATGATTTATTTGGATAAATGATGAGATTAATTTTAATAAAAAAAAAAAATAAAATTAATTAATAATATAATAAAATTAAAATTGATGATAAAAAATATATTTTTGATATAAATATAATAATAACGATTAAATGAATTATAATGAAATAAAAAATTATTGGTAACTTATAAAAATTAATAAATAATAAAAATTTTTGAAAAATATTTTTATGATAAATAATAATTTTATTAATAAAATAAATAAAAATGATAAAAATAACAATAATGTATTAAATAGCAATTTTATTATATTAAATTAGAATTATTTTATAAATTTTTTAAAAATATTAAAATAAAAAGGAAAGAAAATAAGTCAAATTAAAAAGATTAAAAGTTAAAAAAAAATCAATTATGCATTTATTGACTGTACCTAAAATCTTCCGTTGAAAAAAATTTATTTTCACACCTTAAATTATATATCTAAAGAAATATTTGGTGCGTCAAGCACAATTTTCCATAACAAACACAGCCCCACTGGAGGTGCCAAATGCAACCTTGGACTTGGTAACAGTACGAAGGACGGGGGGACCTCTTGCCACAATGAAACTTCGAATTTCCACTCTATCATGTCTTCCGACAGGGAATCGGGGCTTCAACAGTGACGTGGTGAGTGGGTTTATTGACCTCACATAATTTTTAAAAATAAACAATATATGGCAACCAGTCTTCGGCTAAGCGGGATGAGAGTGATAAGATATTGGAGAGTTATTCTTGTGACTTAATTACAATTGTGTAGCGATTTTTCTTCAGTTTAGTTTCGAATGGTATCAAACAAACATAAAATCCATTCTTTGTTGTAAATTAAAAAAAAAATTATAACGATTTGAATATTTTGCTTTATCTCAAAACTAAGATGAACAACATAGTGAGGACACCCATCAGTAAATCTCTTTGATGCCTAGTAGTTTAAGACAATCCATAAAAAAAAATATATATATATATATATATATATAGTTGACTTGACCAAAAGCCCATGCCCACGCAATTGTAGTTTTTGTTATCGTCCAGCTACGAATTCCACATCTAAACTTCAGTGGTAAACTCATGTATCGTCAAATACGTTTGGCTTCGATTGTCGTCTACGTGGTCGACTGACTTTCTAGATTTTTCTTTCAAACTATTTATTTATAATATATATATATAAAAAAAAACAATGGATAGGTTAATTTTATTGACGTAAAAAATAATTTAAAAAATTTAGTGTTCGGAAATTTTTTTTTTTTCATTTTTTAAGATATTAAAAAATTTTTAAAATACTCAGAAAAATATTTTTTTCTTTTATTTTTTTAATTTTTCACTTTTGTTTTTAAGTGTTTATAGATGGTTTGTCAATTTGGATCCCCCTTGCACATGTCTTGTTTTTTTGTTTTTTGGACCCGGGTAATAGGGATAAGCTAGTACAAGAAACATGGCCACGGAAGCTAATGGCCAAAGACTTAAGAGTCAGTGACAAAACGAAGGACGGGACGTCTTACCACAAATGATGAAACTTCAAAATGCCACTGTCTTGGCCTTCTGGTGGGGAATCGGGGCTTCAACAGTGATGTAGCCACTTTACATTGGTGGGTTAGTTGACCTCACATAATTTTTAAAAACAAATAATACATGGCAACGAATCTTGGTAAAGATGTTGATAAGATATTGGAGAATTATTCGAGTTCAATCCTCCAGTGACATTTGGATGAGGTCGAGGACAAGATAAAAGTAAAATAAAAACTTCAAAAAAATAAATAATATATATGTAATTAAAATAAACAAAATGAAGTCTTAAAATTTAGTTGTTAGAAATTTTTTTTAGAGAGAAAATCATATTTTGCATGAATATTGTAAGTAAAATATAAAACCATAGT